TCAATTCACGTCAATTTCAATATTCTAATTCTTATTCACTCACTCGCCTCGTATTTTATTTTATTCACTGCTCTTTTACTAAAGAGCGTAACCCGTTCAATAAATTAATTAATTAATTAAAAATTCCCCATATATCGAGCAACTTATCAAATAATATCAGCATGTTCGAAATTTCTCACATCCGATGTGCCGGTGCGACGTCACGACGATCTAATAAATCCCCGCTGAAATTCATCGACACGCAAGCAGCATTGAATTCAATTATTCCGAGCAAAGAGGAGGAAGAAGAAGAAGAAAAAGAAGAAGAAGAAGGCGAGGCGGATATTAATTCATGGGAGTTTTTTACGTGGATTATGTAAATCGAGTTTTGTCGCCTGTTTGGATATCTGGCATCTCTTAAACTCGCTGAATGATGCAACGGACTTGACAAGCCGTGTCAAAGTTTATAAAACAACTTCAATCATCGTGTATCGGCATTAATAAATAATATCTTCCTACTTGTTTCAATTCACAAACTCTGATTTCTTACTCTACATCGATGAACTAGAGGAGAAAGAAAATAATAAAAAAAAAAAAAAATGCGACATTAGAGGAAAATTTACATTACGAAAATTTGCATTGACAATTTACATAGTTGAGGCAAAATTTACTTTCTTATTGGTGCAGAGTTCATTTCAAGTATGAAGAGCTTGAAACTCAAATATTAATCACCAGTCAAACGACGTTGTCGTTTAAATCGTCACCTGAAATACCGGAAACATGGATTATAATTAGTTGGCTGAAGATTCACAAAGACGCCACGTGCAGCATTAAAGCCTTCTTTTCGTAATAAAGTTGTTTAATTTTAACTTTTCAATCCTTTTTAGTAATAAATTCGTACTAAATTTACTAAAAAATTTACTTCGAATAAACGATGTGAAATACACTTCAAGTTTACAACATTCTCTCCGATAGAATTAAAGTGAAGTTCCACTTCTCGTAAATTAACATTTTTGCAAAGGTTGCAAACCTGACCACTATTCTAGATGGTACACACAGAAAAACCATGAGGATTAAATACGCCCGTGATAAGAACCGAAATAAAAAAAGAACGAATGATTTTTCCGCCGTGCGAACCGATGCAAATTCCATTCGGAAATTACAACTTATAATCGTACTCATAGATTCGGAAATCGATTATATTTTTTTTCTTTTTTTTTTCACTCCCGTGACGATCCATTATTCATGCATTCGCGGTGCTAACAAAGTGGTCGACGGATCGATCATCTCAGAATAGAAAAGAAGAAAGAGAACAGAACCCGGAGTCTTCGTGCCACGTGTTTCTTACCAATTTTCA